CCATCTCAATCCAACAAGAACTTATTGAGATAAAGCCCTATTCTCACTATGGTGCCAAATTTGAGTCAATACAGTCAATAGCCGCCAAAAGTCAATGGATTTGTGATAAACTAAACATAAGTTGAATACAAAGTAGTACTCCTTCTAAAGACCTCTCTAAGCATATATGAACCATTAGAAATCATCACTATTTAACTCTTACTGCCACAGTATTTTGTAGTCAAAGTCTGTCATTTTGTAGTCAACAAATTTTGAGTTGAATGCCATGTTATAGGCCCTTCAAATACCTTTCTGACCATATAGGAAGCATCTCAATCCAACAAGAACTCACTGAGATAGAGCCCTATTACTGTTTTGAAAAAAAGCAACAAAAGACTGAAAGTATATGACATTTTGTGAGTCAAGTATTGACTTTAAGCCACAGTGTAGACTGGGCAGTTAGGTCCCAGAAGTGTCCCCATAGACTGGCACCAAAATGTGCACAAGTCAATTTGAGTCAATATAACTGCCACAGTAAGTACTGATAAAAGTCATTGGATTTATATCAAACATATTTCCAGTTGAATACCAGTTTATAGCCTCTGTAAAGCCCTTTCTGACCATATAAGAACCATCTTGAAAGCTTCAGAAATGAGTCACTGAGATACAGTGCTAATACTGTTTTGAAAGTGCCAAAATATGTTATAATAAAAGTTTTGTAGGAAAGTTCCGATTAGGTGAATACAAAGTTGTAGTCCTTCTCAAGAGCTTTCTGACCATATATGAACCATCAAGAAATTCAACAGTGTAACCTTAACTGCCAGAGTGTATCCTAATAAAAGTCAGTCATTTTGTGGTCAACATATCTGCAGTTAAAGCCATATTTGTAGGCCCTTCAAATACCTTTCTAACCATATAGGACTCATTGTGATCCAACCAAAGCTTACTGAGATAGAGCCCTATTACTGTTTTGAAAAAAGCAGGTGCCGCTGCACAAGTCAGTTTCAGTCAAGACAGTCAATAACTGCTGCAATAAGTACTGACAAAAGTTAATAGATTTGTGGTCAATCAAACAAAAGTTGAATTGAAAGTTATAGTCCTTCTAAAAACCTTTCTAACCATATATGCACCATTAAGAAATTTCGTAGTGTGGCCTTAACTGCCACAGTGTATCCTAATAAAAGTCAGTCATTTTGTAGTCAACAGGTTTCCAGTTAAATACCATGTTATAGGCCTTCAAAATCCCTTTCTAGCCATATAGGAACCATTATGAAAGCTTCAGAACTCACTGAGATATGGCCCTAATACTGTTTTGAAAACTCAGGGTTGGGTCAGTAATTTGCATCTTGCGAAGCAAGTATTGACTTTAAGCCAAAGTGTTAACTGGGCAGTTAGGTTTTTAAAAGTGCCGCTATGAACCCAGACCAAAATCTGCCCAAGTCAATTTCAGTCAATACAGTCAATAACTGCTGCAGTAAGTACTAACAAAAGTTCTTAGATTTGTAGGAAAGTTACAATGAGTTGAAGACAAAGTTGTAGTCCTACTGAAGACCTTTCTAACCATATATAAGGCATCCAAAATTATCACAGTGTAAGACTTACTGCCACAGTATTTTGTAATAAAAGTCATTCATTTTGTATCAAACATGTTTTCAGTTGAGGACCAGATTGTAGGCCTTCAAAATACCTTTCTAACCATATATGACCCATTTTGAAAGCTTCAGAACTCACTGAGATAAAGCCCTATTACTGTTTCAAAAGACTCTGGATTGGGTCAGTAATTTGCATTTTGCGAAGCAAGTATTGACTTTAAGCCAAAGTGTAAACTGGGTAGTTAGGTCTCGAAAGTGTCTCTATGAACCCACACCAAAATATTTACAAGTCAATTTGAGTCAATAACTGCCACAGTGTGTACTAACAAAAGTCATTAGTTTTGTAGGAAAGTCACAATGAGTTGAAGACAAAGTTGGAGTCCTTATGGAGACCTTTCTAACCATATATAACTCATCAAAAATTATAACAGTGTAATACTTACTGCCACAGTAATTGCTAAGGAAAGTCAGTCAATTTGTATTAAACATGTTTTCAGTTGAAGACCAGATTGTAGGCCCTTCAACTACCTTTCTAACCATATAGAGGTCATCTTGAAAGCTTCAAAAATGACTGAGAAACAACCCTAATACTGTTTCAAAAGACTCTGGTGTTTGCGAGTATTTGTCAATTTGTGAGCCAGGCATTGAGTTTCAACACTAAGTGTAAACTGGGCAGTTAGATCTAAAAAGTGTCTCTATGACCTCAACTCATTTCCCAAGTCAGCCCTAAAGTCAGACTCAGCCCTAAAGTAGTCTGGCAGTAGAGTCAGTAGCGCTCTCACTCAGTACCAGTCAATAATACAAGAATATAATAACAAGAATATAATAACAAGAATATAATAACAAGAATATAATAACAAGAATATAATAACAAGAATATAATAAAAAAAAAAAAGAGTGGAAGCATGAGCCGGCCCTAAAGTGGAATACCCCTGGAACCCGATCCTTCAGCAGGCCCTAAAGTAGAGCTGCAGAAGGAAAAAAAATACTGTTGTTCTTCTTCTTTCACATCTTCAACTTTATGAATCCATGTCATTCACAAAGCTGAAGATAGGAAAGAAGAAGAAAGAAGAAGAAGGTAGGTAGTAAAGGGGGTTAAAAATAGCTTTGAGTTTTATTGACTTCACTGTCACACCAGGCTGCAGTCCTGGATTTTTGTTTATAGACTTGTCAGGGCGTCCCCCAACAGAGTCTGCATCCTAGAAAATTAGTATCCTAGAAAAAGTTAGATTTAAATGTATCCCCCAGAACCCATGAATAGAAAAGATAGGCAAGCTCCACCAAGTTACAAGTTCAAGTTACTCAGAAGTTGACTGTAAACAGTGCTATGATGACTTCTGTCCTTCACTCTCACAACCCTTGGTTCGATTCAGCAGCTACTCCCAATCAACTGAAGGAGCATCACCCTTTCACCAGTGGGGAGGCCTCTTCTCAATGCCTAAGCATGAGCCCACCAATTACTCAAATGACCTTTTTCCCCTTGTTATAGGGTATTCAGCCAACCTCTTTCACTGCCAAAATGTGGTCCCATGTTAATCCATCTTTAAACAGGTGTCAGACACACTGCTAGACAAAAGAACACTCAGCACCCAGAGGTCTTCCTCCTTACAATAGGAAATGCCACCCCTCAGCCAACCCCAGGAACAAATTTTCAAAAAGCGTGAAAACAGCTGTCCACAATTTCGCGCTCGAAATTATTTCCTTTTGGGAAATTTCATTAGCCCTCCACAACTCTCAGTTCTTATCCTCCTGCTTCTCATTTCAACTTTTTGGAATCTCCAGCTCAATATCTTTCAATCCCTCTCTTCACATTTCCCACAACTGAAATTACTTTACTAACTGCCAGCGGACTTTCCGCGGAGGCCGCTAACTGCCAGCAGTTAATTTACCGCGGAGTGCCGCAGTGCGGAGTCGAACCGAGTCACGCAAGATTCGGACTCGACTACAGTCACGCGCGTGACTCTCTTGCTTCCGAACCACCACCATCTCTGGCGACACAACATCCTACCTGCCTCTCCGCGCCTCCCCGGACTTGTAGCAAGACAAACTAGGCAACAACCACTCACAACTGGGGACTTCTGGGGCGGAATCTCGCGAAAACACGCCACCGCGCCGCCGAAGCCCAAACTAGGCGACAATAACACACAACTGGGGCTTCTGGGGCAGAATCTTGTGAAACCACGCCCCGCGCCGGCTCAGATAGCCCAGAGACAAGGCTCCAAGGTCCGCTACCACTCTGTGCCGCCATTTGCAGCCGTTTATAGCCCAAACTCAGCACAAAACACGCCACCGCGCGCGATCGCGACCGCGGATCGACGCGAAAACGCGCTCGCGAAGAGCCGCCGACATGCTCGACAATATGCTGCACTTTGGCGGCGATCTACCGGCCGGATGGTCCCCAGCAACGCGCCGAGTCTGGCCGGAAACCGCCCGTTCCGCGCCGAACACGCCCTCGGCCGCGTCCGGCCATGTCGAGGAAGATGCAGGGGACTTGGTCGGCGCGTTTTGGGCCACTGCGACGCGCTGCATCCGCCAGACTCGGCGTTGGACGCGTGTTCCCGAGACTCGCGCGCGCTGGGCGTGTTTCTCGCGCGTTCCGCCTGAGATTCTCAGGGATGCGAGGGGCGATATATCCCTCCGTTCCCTGAGATTTTCAGGCGGAACGGGCTAGTCGTTGGCCCTGAGCGAACCAGCTGCTGTTTTTGGCGGCCAGTGCCGTCCCGGCCCATCCGCCGCGCGTTCGTCGCGAAAGCGCGCGCCCGGGGAGGGCCCATACGCACCTCCAACTCCAGCAAATCTCGCGCGAGAGGGCGCCGCCGTTGTTCCACAACGTTCCATCTTCTCCCGGTGAGTGAATTCAGGCTGTTTGTGGATGTCAATGCTGAGCGGAGGTGTTTCCAGCGATAGAACACTCACCTACGCTACTGCGCCACCCCCCACGACGTGCCACGCAAAGAAATGTTCGACAGAGTCGCAACGTGGCAAGCGCAAATGCCCAGGGCGCGTCGACCCCGCGTCTGCGCCTCTGCCGCGCCGTCTGTGCTGGGTTGCGGGACTCGCAATATCGACCAGAAAGATAAGTAGAACAGAACAGGCCACGTATTTTGAATTTAGTAAAAATAATAAAATCGAGCACACATATACTGTCTCTAAGACCGCGCGGGCACGCGCCGAACGAGCATAGGATGCTTAGCCATATAGCGCGGACTAGCCTACAGAGACCGAAGATGGACGAGCCACCCCGGCGGCGCCGTGGGCCGTGACTCCGGTGCAGCGCCGCGCCGCGCCGAGTTGGTCAGACGATCGTGCGGGGTAACAAGTTGATTGAACAGGAAGATAGATACGATAAGACAGTGGCATGGAGAGATATAGAACCGCGGGCGTCCAGGCCCGCGCGTGGGAAACAAGAACGGGAATGCGGGCGTTGGCCTAGACGGAGACCATCTGGCTGGGGGTGCGTCAGCAGGCCCGGAAGCCCAGAGAAAGAACAGGAAACGCACTCGAACTGGCCCATGATGTTTCCCGGCGGGGCGTACTCGCAGACGTAGTACTCGGCGGTGTTCTGCGCGGCGCCGAGGTCAGCACACGGGGGGCACACGCGGCCCGGACACGCACCGTGAACTTGGGGTCGAAGATCGTGCCGGGCGCGCACACGGTGAGCGCACAGCCGACCTGCGTCGTCCCGCGCCACACGACCTGGGTGAAGTGCGACGGCACCGGGTTCTTCGGGTCGTAGTCCTCTGCCTTCGCCTCAGCGCCCACCCCTACGTGCAAAGAAAATAGGGCACTCACTGACCGTTCGTCCACGACACGATCGCCTTCTCGATCCCGTACTTGCCCGTGCCCGCCGCGAGGTTCTCGCCCGAACGGGCCGACCTTCCCGCCCGAGTGCTCGAACACGCACGTGTCCGCGACCTTCTGGGCCGCGGCGGAGAGCGTGTCGTTCCACGAGAGGGGGTCGCCCTTGTGGTTGGCGCGGATGTCGTTGTGGAACTTGAGGTACAGCGCCTGGTCCGCTGCGGAGACGAGCGGCGCGACGGCCGCGCCCGGCGTTGATCGCGCCGGCGGGGAGCGCGGGCCCGGTCGGGCGCGGACGCCCGGGGGGGGGTGGAGCTCGTAGAGGTGGGCGCTGGGGGGTGGCGGAGGCGGAGGGGGGGCGGGGCTGCGGCCGGGGTGCTAGACGGGGCCGGCGGTGGCGGTGGCGGGGCCGGGTGTTCGGGGGGCGGGGCGGCGGTGGTGCTGGGCTTGGGCGTGGCGTTGACGGCGCCGCCCGGCGTTGGCGGTGGGGCGGCCCTTGGCGAAGGGGCGGGCGGGGCGGCCGTTGCGGGTGCGCTTGCGGCCGTAGTGGGCGCCCTTGTGGTCGCCGTGGGAGCACGGGGGGGGAGCAGGGCAGCGCGGCCGCGAGGAGCACGGCGAGGAGCGGGAGGCTGGGGGGCGTGGGCCGGCCATGGTTAACGAGGGTGGGTGGGTAACCGGCGACAACTGGGGGAAAGAAAGAAGGCGAGGGACGGCAGGTCGCGGGGGTATAGGTACGCCCGCGCTGGCGTTTCTGACGCGTGTCTGCGGCAAACCCCCCGGGGGGCCGCCGTTGTGCGCGGAAGAGCAGAGGAAGAGGCTGCGTGGGACGAAGACGTGGCGTGCACGTGCCGCATGCCGTCACCCGCGCTTCTTTTTTATCAACCACCACCCTCAAACCGCAAATCGCTCAACGACGCGCAGCGAATCCAGCCAGGCGCAAATCTGGTCTTTATCTTGCTGGCAACACCGGCGCGGTACTCGGCGTCGGCGCTCGGCAAACACATCTCTCGCGGCTGCTGGTGCCACGCCGACACTCTCCCTCCCACATACGACTGGCTTTAGCACCCCACCCGAAGCCTCTTCCCTTCTCCGCTCTGCCCTGCCGTTTCTGCCCATTCTGGGCTTGAATTCGTCACCGCGCGCGATCTCGCCGTCGGATCGTCGCGAAAATCGTCACGCGCAAGGCGCGACACTCCCTCGTCATTCGAATGGTGTTTGTCGGCCCATCTGCCCGCTGGATTCGGGCCACCGCTGGGCTCCCGTTTGGCCAAAACCTAGCCGTTTGGGGCCGGGAATGGCCCCCGGTGTCCCTCGGGCATGTCCGGGGAGGCTCAAAGACCATATCCCAACCGGTTCAGCGCGTCTCGGCGCTTGTCGGCGGGCCGCATCGACCGTGGTCGCTGTTGACGGCGTTGTGGGCAGGACCGGTGAGCGCTGGGCTCAGTTCGTGCCCGTTCTGGCTGGAAATTTAACCACAGGTAGCGACATTGCGACGCTCCCTCTCCTGAAGATTTCAGGGCCAACGGCCGAGCGGGTGGGTCTGCGGCTGCAGGTCTCCGCGAGGTGCGTGTTTCTTCCATCTGTGGCTTCTTTTCTACTAATTTATTGCTCTCTCAGTGTCCCCAGCACTTCGATGCAACCCGCCATCCGCATTCCCGCCGCTACCATCGTCGTTGGCCCACTCTGGGCTCAAATCTCGCAAGAACCGGTCACTGCGCGCGATCGCGACCGCGGATCGACGCGAAAATGGACTCGCGAAGAGCGGAGGACGTTCCCGTCAAGAAGCTGGACTTCTGTGGCGATCCGCCGGCTGGATGCTGGCCAGCAACGCGCCGGGTTTCCCCGGCAATCGCCCGTTTCGCGCCGAACGGGCTCCGGAGGCCCTCGGCGACGTCCGGCAACGTCGATGACAACGTAAGGGACGTGTCCCAAGGTGCTCGACGCGTCTTGGCCGAGAATGGAGGGCGCTGGGCGCAATTCTGACGCGTTCCGCCCGAAATTCTCAGCGATACGGGAGACACTGTGCCTCTCCATTTCCTGAGATTTCCAGGCAGAACGGGGCGGTGGCTGGCCCTGCGCGGCCCGACCGCTGTTTTCGGCAAGCCCGCGGCGTTCCGGCCCGTCTGCCGCGCGTTCTCCTCGAAAGCGCGCGCGTGAGTAGCCCTGATATGCACCTTCGACTCCAGAAAGTCTCGTGGGACACAACGCCGTCGTTGTCGCGCATCGCCAATTCTTCCCCCGGTGAGTGGTTTCAGCTGTTTTCTCAATTCAAATGCTCAGCGCATGTGTTTTCAAGTCTGACGTACTCGCCTACGTCACTGCGCCACCTCGTCGCGGGTCCCGTCGCCCTCCACGACGCGGTGCGGCGCCGCGTGTCTGCACCGCCGTCTCGAGGCCCGCTGCCGAGCCGCTGCTCCGATAGGGCTGGAATTGCACAAGCGGTTGCGGACGACGTGTCCCCTCCCTGTGTGAAGTTTCCAGCCCGGGCGATGCAGCGGCTGTGCCGCACGCGCAAGGGCGGACTTCCACCCGCCCTCCGCACTGCCGGGCTCCGGCTGCGTCGCGTCGGCCCAAACGCGGCCAGCAGCCGCGGGTAGCATGGCACTACCCTCCTTGAAGATCTCGCGCCGAACGGCCGCACCGTTCTCCCGTATCGCCCAAGGCTCTGTTTGAGCCGGCACACTGGCGAACCTCGCCGTATCTGGTCCGATCGGGCCGAAGCGCTGCCCGACGGCGCGAATATCATAGGTCTATGTAATTCCTGAATTCCCTGTACTTAGCTGGAGCGGTTGGCGTGCAATCAACAATTTTGTCTAATTTTTCATATAACTTGGAATGTCTGACAAGACAAGTCTGTTCAGCCAAAGCTGCTTGTGGGTGAAACTTGAGTTTGAACTCAAAACTTAACAGCTCAATATTAACTGCCACTGCATGAAAGTGAATTTTCAGTCAGATGTTTCTACAAGTATGCCAAAAAGACTCAACCAGGCAGTTATGTCAAATCAGTGCCTCTATTAACTGGTTCCAAAATCTGCCCAAAAGCCACAGTATGTCAAATTGTATCCACTATATTTCCAGTTGAATACATTTCCAACCATATAGAAATCCACTTTATCTGTTTCAAAGTGCCCTAAAATCAGTCAATTGGAGTCAACAGTCTGGTTCAGTTTGGTTCTTGGCGAAAAGCCAGACCGGGCCAAACTGAGGGCCAGGATGGCCTTCACCGAATGTCAGTCCAGTTCAGTTCGAACTGAAATCCCAAACCATGTATCTAGCACGTTTTAAGTTGGTTGGGCTTTCAATCCATTCTGAAAGCTCCGGAATACTGTACTGAAAGACTTGCATTTTGTGACTCAAGCATTGCCTTTTAGTTGCATCAATCTGTTGTAGTCCTTACCGCCAAGTCATTTGAACATCAGATTATAAGCCTTTGAAATACCTTTCTGACCGTTCAAGACCCATTTTCAAAGCTGCAGAAATGACTGAGATACAGCCCAAATGCTGTTTTGAAAGTGGAAAGTGTTACCAGGGGAGTAAATAAGTGTCACTATCAACTAGCACTAGAATATGCAGCATCAATTTGTAGCCCTTTCAAATACCTCTCTGACCATATAAGAACCATCTCCATACAAGCAGAACTCATTGAGATATAACCCTAATACTGTTTTGAAATGTTGGTGATTTTGTAAGTCAATCATTGACTTTGGACGGTCAGTATAAACTGGCAGGTCCTGGAAGTGTCCCCATGGACTCACACCAAAATGTGCACAAGTCAATTTGAGTCAATATAACTGCCACAGTAAGTGCTAATGAAACTTAGTCAATTTGTATCAAACCTGTGTTGAGTGCCTGGAATTCCCTTTCCAACCATATAAAAACCATCCCAAACCGACCAGAACTGACAGAGATATGAGCCTAATACTGTTTCAAAAGACAAGTCAAAATCAGTCATTTTGCAGTCAGATTTTGAGTTGAATACCATGTTATAGGCCCTTTAAATGAAAACCATCTCAATCCAACAAGAACTCATTGAGATAAAGCCTATAAACTGGCACCAAAATCAGCACAATAAGTACTGCTGCAGTATACACTAATTGTGATAAACTAAATATAAGTTGAATACAAAGTTGTATTCCTGCTAAAAACCTTTCTAATCATATATAAACCATCAAGAAATTCAACAGTGTAACATGAACTGCCACAGTGTATCCTAATAAAAGTCAGTCGTTTTGTAGTCAACATATTTGCAGTTGAAGACCAGTTTGTAGGTCTTTGAAATATCCTTCTGACCATATAGGAACCATCTTAAACCGACCAGAACTCATCGAGATATGAGCCTATTACTGTTTCAAAAGACTGAAAGTATATGACATTTTGTGAGTCAAGTATTGACTTTAAGCCACAGTGTAGACTGGGCAGTTAGGTCCCAGAAGTGTCCCCATAGACTGGCACCAAAATGTGCACAAGTCAATTTGAGTCAATATAACTGCCACAGTAAGTACTGATAAAAGTCATTGGATTTATATCAAACATATTTCCAGTTGAATACCAGTTTATAGCCTCTGTAAAGCCCTTTCTGACCATATGAGAACCATCTTGAAAGCTTCAGAAATGACTGAGATATAGTGCTAATACTGTTTTGAAAGTGCCAAGTCAATAAAGTTGATGGATTTGTAGGAAAGTTCCAATTAGGTGAATACAAAGTTGTAGTCCTTCTCAAGAGCTTTCTGACCATATATGAACCATCAAGAAATTCAACAGTGTAACCTTAACTGCCAGAGTGTATCCTAATAAAAGTCAGTCATTTTGTGGTCAACATATCTGCAGTTAAAGCCATATTTGTAGGCCCTTCAAATACCTTTCTAACCATATAGGACTCATTGTGATCCAACCAAAGCTTACTGAGATAGAGCCCTATTACTGTTTTGAAAAAGGCAGGTGCCGCTGCACAAGTCAGTTTCAGTCAAGACAGTCAATAACTGCTGCAATAAGTACTGACAAAAGTTAATAGATTTGTGGTCAATCAAACAAAAGTTGAATTGAAAGTTATAGTCCTTCTAAAAACCTTTCTAACCATATATGCACCATTAAGAAATTTCATAGTGTGGCCTTAACTGCCACAGTGTATCCTAATAAAAGTCAGTCATTTTGTAGTCAACAGGTTTCCAGTTAAATACCATGTTATAGGCCTTCAAAATCCCTTTCTAGCCATATAGGAACCATTATGAAAGCTTCAGAACTCACTGAGATATGGCCCTAATACTGTTTTGAAAACTCAGGGTTGGGTCAGTAATTTGCATTTTGCGAAGCAAGTATTGACTTTAAGCCAAAGTGTTAACTGGGCAGTTAGGTTTTTAAAAGTGCCGCTATGAACCCAGACCAAAATCTGCCCAAGTCAATTTCAGTCAATACAGTCAATAACTGCTGCAGTAAGTACTAACAAAAGTTCTTAGATTTGTAGGAAAGTTACAATGAGTTGAAGACAAAGTTGTAGTCCTACTGAAGACCTTTCTAACCATATATAAGGCATCCAAAATTATCACAGTGTAAGACTTACTGCCACAGTATTTTGTAATAAAAGTCATTCATTTTGTATCAAACATGTCTTCAGTTGAGGACCAGATTGTAGGCCTTCAAAATACCTTTCTAAC